TATTATATATATATATATATATATATATATATGTATACACTCGTATATGGGTCCCTATGCAGAGATATATATGTATTCACTCTGTATATGGGTCCCTATGCAGAGATATATATGTATACACTCGTATATGGGTCCCTATGCACAGATATACATGTATACACACTGTATATGGGTCCCTATGCAGAGATATATATGTATACACACTGTATATGGGTCCCTATGCACAGATATATATATGTAAACACACTGTATATATGTACGCACACATTGTATATGGGTCCCTATGCACAGATATATATGTAGACACTCTGTATATATGTATAAACACACTGTATATGGGTGTACATATGTATACACTCTGTATATGGGTCCCTAAGCACAGATATATATGTGTATATACATACTGTATATGGGTCCCTATGCACAGATATACATGTATACACGCTGTATATGGTTCCTTATACACACAGTGCAGCCATAATAACAGCACCCCATGTGAAGTTCCCTGCAACAACAATGGCTCCCCTGTAGTAAACAGCACTGATGGCAGACAAAGGGGAAGGATGGGCCTCCCCCCTCGCCCAGCACACAGAGCCTGCACCGCACCCCCTATCATGACATGACCCGTCACAGCAGCCACACGGCTCAGGCAGCTCACACTCTACTTACCGGCCATCTTGAGGGCTGAGCCGGGAGGACGGAAGCGCGTACCCTGGCACCCAGGCGCGTTCCCGAAGCTCGCCCCGCTGGCTGGCTGCGCGCTCCAGGTGGGGGGCTGCGGCTGCGGGCCAGAGGGACGCGCGCACCAGTGGAAGGATTTCCGTCACGTGACGCGCTCGCCCCCTAACGGTCGCACTGGGGTATTGCAGGGATCTGATGCAGCCGCTTGCAGGGATGGTTTGTTATTTCCTTCTTTTTTGTTTTTTTTCTTTTACAGATAAAAAGGGAACAAAACGCAACACTGATGTTGTTGTATAAATAAAATGATGATCCGATATCACAACTACATCTCATGATTGTGTCAGTGTTATTCAAATTTGGATGGTATTTTTTATTATGGCATTTTAACATGTGCAAGAAAATGCAACATTTTTTCTTTATTCTTATATATATATATATATTTTTTTTTTGGG